CTTTGTTCTGAACATTTTTGGCCATAATAAAAAAATATATATTAATTTTTAAAATTTAGGAAATGGGTTGCAGACTCGATGTCATGTGCGAAACGCGCACATCGGCTTCTTTTAATGGTAGGCTATTATTACGTGAACAAGAGACTAATGCTCAAATATATGAACACGGAGACCAAAACGAAGTAATATGAAATTTTTGTAGTACCAGCAGTCTACCTTATATATACACCAAAACAATCCTGCGCTTCGCTGTCGACGATATCGATGAAATGCGATTGCGGAATTGCAACACAGTGCGAATCAGTGCACAAACGAATTCCATTATTTCTACAGAAAGGTTTGAAATAAATAACAGTGAAGATCTTATAACGACAACAACAATATTTAACCACTGAAAATTCCAAAGCAATTGGTGCAGTAATTGAAGACTAAGCGATTGTTTTCAGCAACAACAAGGATACCAAGAAGTAGAGGCCTACCGACCGGTTCATGTAATTCATTTTTAGGATAGGCTTTACTTATTTATCTCGGGGATAGTAAAGGCGATTAGACGGCTTAATCATATGGCGCATCACAGCCTCTTTTCCGGTTACCAGCCTTCTCGAGTATGGGATTGGTTAGTTTTATCTTGGTGTTAACAGTGTTCGTTAAGAAATACCGCTTAGAGCCTAATAAATCACTGGAGACGAGCTTACTTCAAGCTTCTAGTTGGGAAACCAGTGGGAGATCGAATGAACTGTAAACTATTCGGTTACGCGGGTCGGTTACGTTTTCCTCTGCCATCAAAGCTTATGCGTTATCAATTAACACCTAAACGACTGTTTCAATATCCGATTCTGTGCCAGTGTTTAATTTCTGTCAGATTCAGATTCAGATATTTATTTCCGTCATGCATGAAATATTACATTATTAAAACAAAGAACACAAAAATAATTCTATTGGAAAAAAAATATAACACAATATTTCGATTGCAATTGACGAGGAGCCGCGAATAAACTATAAAGTCGTCGTGTCTTTATAGTGTTTAGTGATTATGTTAGCCAAGTTTATATTTCGTTGAAAATGTCTACTGCTTACTGATGTGTGTTGCGCCAAGATAGTTCTTTTTGTATAATTCTACTTTGAGTTATTTTTCGTATAGTATCCAACAAAATCGAAAAACTTAACAAAAAAAAATTAAAAAGCAACATATTCCGGTATCTAGAGATGTGGCCCTATAGCACTGGACGAAAATTTCCTGTTTAAACCAGTTATGCACAAAAATCACTCTCTGAATGAATGTATCCCCGAGCATCGATTTCCTTGTTTTTCCGTAACAATTAGGATTTTAAGATGATGTCACACTTACAATTTTTGCAGCCGCTCAGACGTTTTGTTCACTCAGACAGCATTGCCTCGTTTTCGCGGTTTTGCCTTTATTTTTGTCAGTTTTCAGGTGAATAACCGAAAATCAGTTGCAAATGAAGTAATTTATTTGTAGTTATGTTTTCCGATGAGATTTAGTTCAGTTACTACAATGTTCAAAATTTAGTCTCGAAAAATTTGGGTGAGCGAACACGTACTACTTCTTTATCAATACCTTTCCATCTAAAAGCTGTACGCTTCAAACCTTACTTAAGGTTTTGTTTGCTCTCCCCATTCGGTAATCATTTCTATTTATTTTGTTCCTATAAATTGTTTTATCGTCTATTATGCTGAAAATAGGGGTCGAAATAAAATCATAAAAGCTGCGAATAGCCCACAATTTTCTGGGGTCAAGGGTCGGTGAAAGATCCATTAACCGTTGAGCAGCGGTAAATCCAAATCCGTTTTGGAGCTTAGTGCAACTTTGCAGCCGAAATCAGTGCTCTGGCAGTCTGGTGGTTGTTCATGCTGAAGTTTATTTGTAGGTTAAACTGTTGGTCTGCTCTTACTTGTAGGCTAATAACACTATTAATTCAAACATGCAATTTGTTAGTTACCGTACTACTTAAACAAGGGTGAACAGTAAAGTAACCGGCGCGGCGGTGTGGCTCAACGGGCTACCGGTAAGTGTTAGGAATACGCTCGCCACTGCACCTCTAACTACTCTGCGTGGGTTCGCAGGTTCGAATCCCATGCAGGGATGGTTATGTGCGAGAGGATTGCTTGGACTCCTCGCCGTCGTTGGGTGGTTCACGTAACCGCTGGTCGGTTACGGCTTCCTCCACCACCAAGTCCATGCTTCCGAAAACAAACAATACAGTAAATCTAATCCCATACCCGACTTGGAATGGTAACCGGACGAGAGGCCGTGGTTCGCCATATGAATAAGCCGTCTTATCGGCCTTTCCTCTCCCCCGGGATAAATATGTAAATCCTATCCTATCCTAAAATATTAAATAAAAAGATATTTCCAAGTCGCCCGATGTTACCGATGTAGACTATGGGTCTTTCAGTCTTTTCTCCTTTACGGTATCAGTCTGCCAGTACCGGTACCTGCGTGCAGTGTGTTAGCCATCAACCCAATCTGCCAATTCAACAATCGTAGGCAGAAAATTACAGAATTCAAGGCTGTGAATTGCAGACTTTCTGCCCTCTTGCAGTCTGGCATTGCTGGATTGTGTTACGGTAGGTTCAGAACCCAAGCAGTCTGGAAGTTGTCTTCACAGCCTTCAAGTATTTTATTTTTATATCTAAACATCATTCTTCAATCTGATTTAAAGTAAAAAAATGTTAATTTTTGATAATAGTCTACTGTAATGAGTGAGAAATAAACCATGAGGTTTTGTCTGTTAAAAGAAAGTACCAGGGATCATATGGGAAAAACATGACCGCATGACGTTTCCATTTGCCAGTGTTCATTTGGAAAATAAATAAATAATAATGATTTTAAATTTTCTTTAAACCCAACTTTTCAACTAAACTTCCAAGGTGACTTTAAACTAAACCATTGCAGCATTGTACACATGAAAATTAATTGGACAACTACAAAACTATTGTATAGCTTTGGATGAAAAAGGATTTCTGCATTTTGTATGGCTGTGATTATCCTAGTTGATCGACTAAACAGTTATTAGATTATAATTATGATTATATCGAGTCTAGATTAATAAAAATTAATTCCCACATATTACCATATTTCCCGGCGAATAAGTCGCTTTTCTGGACCTAAATTTTTGGCCCGATTTTAGTGGGGGGCCTATTGGGCGAGTATGATAATTTTCATTTTTTCGAGGTGTGCTCATTATTCAGTTATTCAATTAGGACCATAAAATATCTACCGCGATAGCATCCCTTTAATGTCCCCACCAGGTGAGTTTAAATGAATCGGCGTTCTCGCGCTGTGAATTTGGAATTTCAATGCTGTGAATACCATATTTGAAGTTGCCGCATTTGTGTGTGCATCACAAGTGAACGGCTATTACGGATACACATGGGATTGCAATTTGTGAAAATTGTTTTTGTCAGCATGATCACAAATTTCCCTCAGCATATGTTTGGTGCCACAAGGACACCTATGTATAATTACTTTATTGTTCTCAAACAACCACAGCACTTGTGAGAAAGAGTAGTATGTATAATAAAGTATATGTATATAGGGATGGGCAATGTAGAATAATTTACTATTCTAGAATATTCTAGAATAGTTAAATCGAATCCAGAATACCGAATACTATTCTATTTTCGTACTTATTCAAATAGTGGGAATTTCTACATTGCTGGATTTAGATGGTAAAAAATTGCAAATGTATTACTCACTATAAATGTATTATCTATTTGGAAATGTCCTGAACATTGGATTTCATTTGATACTAAACAGGCAGTTCCCAGGACAATAAAATTTAGGAATATTACAATTTTTTTTGCCTTCAATTGTTCCAAAGGTATGTAATCCCTAAATACTAATAAATACTGATATGCTAAATTAAGACACGCTTTACACACTCTAATAGTAAGCGGTTAAATACAAAATAGACATGAAACGGCGTTAAATCATTATTAATGTAAGTCTGCCGAGTATACTAAAACAAACCCGCTGAGAACCAGCGTGTGGCCACTGCAACCTATGCGCCGTTGTAAAATATTAAATTTAACCACTTTCAATTAAAATCAACCTTTTATTCTGTGAGAGCAACGCGTAAAACCAAGTTCCCGTAAACGCGATTTCGTACTTAGTTATTAGGTAATAACATCCGAAGACGAACTCATTTTTCTATGGTTATCGTTACATATCATTATCTATCCAGACTTGGCCTTACTCAAATTCAATACGTCACAAACTTCGCCAGATACGGCAACTTTTTTCAAAATTCATCGGCGACTAAAATACTACAGACACTCGATCAAACGTGCATCTATCTTGAACGATAGAAACGGACCGAAAAATATGTAATCTTTTGAGAGTGAAATTTAAATGTGAGAGTTGTTCGCGTTTTGCGATATAACTTAGTATTTCGGAAAATGGTATAATAAAATTATTCGTAAATAATATTTGATCTAAATTAATGGCGAGTAATGTTATAACTTTTAACGCCTGGCTTTTGGTTTACGTGCATCATTTTTTTGGGAAAACCTGTAGGTCGCGAAAAATCATTTAATTTAAAATGAGGCAAGGCACGTCGGTAAACAATTAAAGATTGTTGCATTCAGATTATCGGAATATCACCAATAAGTCGGCACAAATAACGCTAGCTGGATAGCAAAGAAGGAAAACGCAAAAATGGTGCAATAACGAGTCCTCGCCGTGAGGTTATATTACCGACTTCTTGTCCTGAATATGCCGATTGAAATTACAGTGTTTGATGTTTACTGATTTACGGGTTCTTTGCGAGCAGACGCAAGTTTAATTAAACGAGAGAGATTTCCACGCGAGAAAAACGCTCGTCTATAATTGATAAATTAGAAACCCGAAATACAAAAATTGACGCTTGGCGCCAGAGAGGCGGAAACCGAATCCTGTTATCGGATCCCGTTGGATTCGAATACTTTGGGATTCGAATCCTCCGGATTCGGTATTCTATATTGCCCATCCCTATATGTATAATAGTTAATGTAAAGTATATTTAATTCATTTTTTGAAATAAATTTTACTCTGGTATATTATCGCTGACTTAAGGTTCTTTTCTCAAGGTAATATCCTTAAAATAATGAGTGACAGCATAGCGATGGAGCGGAAGGAGTGTTGCAGCAACAGATCAGATATGTTTTTTAATTTGCAAAAATACAAATCAGAGCTATATATAATTGTACATGTTTATGTCCACGGATTGTGTTGGTATCGCAGATTAAATTGATCACTATTAATATATTAATGAAGCAACACATTTTGTTTCTGGGGTTTTCGAGAGGATGAATGTGTATGTTAGATATATACACTTTATATGTATATTTATTGCCTTTGATCAAATTGTACTTTCCAGGATTTTATCGCATATCTTGGGATTTTTATAGTGGCGATAACGAATTCGCAAAAGTGCAAAAGTATGTATCAAAACTACACACATTGCTGTGTTACGTTGAGCACAATTAGATTAAAATTGAAAGACAGTTTGAATTCCGTAGTTGTCATGAATGGAATATTACGCTACAAGAAAAAATTAATAAGGGGTTATTTTAACGAATGCGTAAACACCTCCACCGCTCAGAAGCCGATACAGGGTAATTTGAGATTCCTATTTTACTGCCTGTCTTATTGAGAGGTTATATGCAAAAACCCATTTTTTCAGGCTTATAACCAGGCCTCGTCCTATTTACCAGGTAGACTTATTTGCCGGGAAATACAGTATTATCTTCATTCATAATATCACCAACTCACGTCAAAAAAGCAACAAACAGCTTCAAAAATTATGATTGATAGCAACACATTAAGCTGTAAGTCCTACATTATTAGTATTATGGTAATTATATAGCAATATCAGATTTGCTATCTTCTAGCCTATTTTAGATCTCGGAACACTTTTTAAGACTTTTTCTCTCACTACGATGCTGAACAAGCAGGGCACCAAAACCCCTTTTCCATCTTTGTCTAAATGTCTGTCCCCCCCCTTTTGGTGAGGTCCTAGAAGTTGGTGTCACTATGTGATAGTCACTGGCCCATCACTGTATATGTTACTTTTTTGCTCGATGTTTAACGCGTTTTTAAATTGGACAATAAATCGCATAGGTCTTATTTTTGCATTGAAAAAAAAATCAGCAGCTAGGTTAGCACTCAATTTTTCAGTGTTTGTACCAAAGTTGTAGAATTGTTTAATTTTTCATCGAAATTTCATTAAGAATGAGTAAGCATAGTCATGCTAGACCTGGAATATAGTAAAAAATGGCATGTCACTCGTTACTCCATTGTTATGCTTCGTTTTGATTCTTGTTTGCCCACTTCAGCTAAGCAAACAATTTTTCAGGTAAGATATGGTGTGTTGTCTGGACATGAACTGTGGTCTTTGTTATAAAAGCATCTTTCAAATTATAGGAGTGATGATTTGTACTTATTCTGTGATTGTTGACAGGCTATGTTTGATCAAGTATGATTTATTGATAAACCATAGCTTAAGGATCTAATTTGTCAACAAGCTATGTGTGCTTAGCTTAGGGATATAATTGATGAATATTGGATCGAACATAATATGTAGCAGTGTTGCCATAGAAACAGTATAAACATATAACTAAAAAATCAAATTCATGCTGCATATTATTTATAATGCATCATTTTTTCAATTTCTTGAGTTTCTTATGATTGCTGTAGTTGGTGCTTTTGTAATGTTCTGTTTTATTTATCTCTTTAATGTTGAAAACATGAAACCGTTTTTCGTTCATGTCTTTTGTCTCTTGAAAAAAATTATATTCAATTACGTAACACAATAACTTGTTACAATTGTGATTCGGAATCTATTGGTGTTTCTTCCAACGCTTTGTTACAACGGGGTTTGTCAGTATCTGTCTGTGGCTATTTTAAAACTTTGTTATTTTAACGGATGTGTTGAAGATTTGTTTGAACTATTTTTTAGTTGAGATTATGACTCATGATTCATGAAGGTAGTTTTTACTGTGGCCCATGCAAGTTTGATTGTAAAATTTTCATCAGACTATGTCTTGTTTTGTGTTTTTAGGTTTACTGGGCAACAAGCCTTGCACAACGTAATGTAATGGTATCTAGGCCGTAGTGAAATGATTTTTACGCTGTTATGGGTAATACCCACGTGATGTTTCACACGATAGTACTACGTTTCGTATTATGTCAATACAAGCTTGTAAGAGTCAACAAAACGAGAGAAATAAGTCAATAGTCTCCCCTATCAACCTCAAAAAAGTCTATTATCATCCATTCTATTGACCTCCCAGGTGGTAATCATAAATTATCTGAATTGTTCGTCACGATGTCTAGTTGTTTATTCGAGTGTTTGAAAGAGGCAGGACTTGAGTGCTATTACTCCATGCTTCAACGTAGAGGATTTGACACAGCTTTCAGTCTTCTATACCTTCCACCTGCTGAACTACAAGACGTTGGAATTACGACTGATTTCGATAGACAGAGGTTTTTACAACTTGTTCAAATTATTGCGTCATTTCATCAAGGTGGTGAACTTTCACCTCGTCGCCCACTTTCACCGTCCAGAAGTCCAAAAGTGAAGGATAGGACTTCCTCACCGAGAAGAAATTTAAGGACGGGAACAGACAGGCGTAGTTACCAAAGTTCAGATTCTAGTAATACATCAGAGGAATTACCCACTGGATATACATTTTCACCAAGTAGAAAGCAGCAAAACAGTATTGATAATCCACTGTTAAAGCGTGATAGGCAAAGAAATGTAAACATGCCCGTACCAATTTTGACGACAAACAGACTGCACAGGACTGGGACAAAATTCAGCCCTACTATGGAAGGTATTACATCTCATCTAGATGCTTCAGTGCAAAGGTCAAATGCATTTAGGGACCATGATGTTGTTGAAAATCATTCTGATTATCAAGACGGTAATAACAATGTCGCACAACCTGAGAATGTTCCTCTGCATATAAATTTCAACAACAATCGACCGTCTGTGCTACAATCACGTGCTGAAGATTCAGATGAAAATGTAATTGTTGCAAAAAATATCAGAATGTCCACAGAGTCCCTGAAAATTCAGAAAGTAATGCGTACAAAGGGATATAATTATGGGCTTCCCAGAGATGGTCATAAAAATAATGGTGTCACTGGTTTGACACCTAAAATGACGAGGTTTACTCCAGCAAGAAAATCACCATTTTCTAGAGCAAGACCTCATTCATCACCAAGTCCCAGGTAAGTCGATGAAAATTATTAAAAAAAAAAGATTAACCCTGTGACAGCGTGGAAGAAAAATATTTTACATGCAAAATGAGTTTAAAATACTTCAAATGCTCGCATGTAACCAGGGCGTAGTAAGTCAACATATTACGAGCATAGAAAATCATATTTCATACCTATTTCATTTTTTCAGTTAAACATGAGCCTAATAATAAGAACATATTCCAGATTACAAATTATTTTTTATAGATCAAGTTTGATATATAGATTATTTTTTTTGATAATCTCTATATTCCTGCAAAAGTTAGATTGGCCATTACTCTTTATTTTTTTGGTTAACTGAAATGCGCTGAATTATTTTCATTTGAAACGGGTGTTATTTTGAAGACTCATTGAAATGTGGCATATCCAATTATTCAGCTGTATCAATAGAATAATATTATAGATAGAAACAAGGCAGTTAGCTACAAATACCAAATTATTCGATGTTCTAAAGATGTCAATATCGAAAAATACTTTGTCTATTAGAGATTTAAATGGATTGCCACCAGGCCAATGTCGGATCACAGTTTGTGTAAGAAAACGTCCCATTCTTGAACCTGAATTCAAATCTGGAGAATTTGACGTTGTAACCTGCAATGACGAAGATGGTGGTAAAGTTGGAGGTCTCATTGTTCATGAACTAAAGCACACTGTAGACATGTCTGAATTTGTACAACAGGTTAGTTGGAAAATTTTAGAAAAATTGATTTTGGTTTCAATATTTTAAAACAGGAATTACCTTAGTATTTGTATGGACACATAATTAAGGATAATTTTTTGTTTGTTAGTAATTTCTTTGTTGAACATTGCCGTTTAATAAAGATCAATATGAGGTTTGATTTATCTAAATTTTATCAACATGAAACTATGTTGACTTCTCTTGATCAAACAAAGATATCTAAGCCTAACAGGAAAGATTACGGTCCTTTCAAATGAGAGATGCTTACATATCGGCATATATCAGTAGTCGTTTCTTTAGGCCTCTTTCAAGCGAAAGGTGTGATTTAGCACCATAAATAGAATAATATTCTCTAATTCATATTTATAAATCGCCATACATTAAACATATTGGTCAAAAATAAAAATAACAGATAGACAGTATTTGATTTATTAATGTACATGTTTAATAAATGAGCCTAAAAAGATCAGGTCATGGTTTTCTATCAAAATCATTTTTTTTATCACATTCCTGTCTTATGAGTAGGGGTGGGCAAAATCGAATATTTTTTTCGAATCGAATTGTTCGAATATTTTTTACGAATACCGAATAGTCGAATAACGAATATTTTTTTTTAAATACAATGGGGGTCCGTCGGAGGTCGATACTCCCTTCGAAAATTAGAAGAAACTTTGAAAAATCGGCAACAAAGCGTTTTTTATTTACTGGTTAAATTCATCAAAATCGCTAATTGTTTTTGTCGCAGCGATCCTAAAGTTCGTAATCTGTATTCCCGCCCGATTCATTTTTTTGAAAGTATTAATTCTTGCGGGTCGGCGAACATCGAAGTTTTATATATTAGGTATACCCGTGCGTTGCCGTTGAAATTTTTTTAAAACTGTAAAAGTTTCCAATAACGCGTGCAATAGCATTTTGCTATAATCGCGGATTGTTATTATCAGCGTGAGGTGGTATTTAGGCCGTAAACAACTTTATGTTGGTTTTATCTTCTCTAAATCAAAAATTTTCCACAGCGTTGTGCGACGTTAACGATGATAATTATTTTATTTTTGTACACACATGGAATTGCGAATCCGGCGATAGTTTAATTAATATACGTTCATCGGCGGCGAGTTTCTGGGGGCATCGCAAATTTTTTGATTGAAAAGCGGCAATATAAAATACTGAAAATAAAACTTCAAACAATATGAGTTTTATTGAGGCCTGCGACAGTTTAAAATCCCCTTTTTGACATTGAAAATCGCAAAATTTCGTGTGTCTCTCGCACACATTATGTTTGGCCGGCGTTTAGAAAACATATCATCACTAAGATCGAAGCACTGTTAATTTTGGGCGGGATTGGCCATATTATCCATTGCTTCAAATTGCCGTCGAAAATTTTCTTTTCAACATTATAAAAGGTTTGAAACGGACAACTTTCCCCGGGTTGTGATGATATATATAAGATAATCAATCTAATGTATATTCAATCAATTTTTATTGTGCTAAAATAAATTTTAACCTGAGATATTACAGCAGATTTATGGATTTTTTGATGTTACAAGTCCTGAAAATAAAGAAATCAAAGCTTTATATATTCGAGCAGTTTACCACACTTTATGTCCGCAGATTGCCGTCGTATTTTAAAATTGTGAAGATTTTATTTTGTCGACTCAACCGCTGGTTAAATTGAAAACAATAATAAAGCAAGACATTTTAAATATGCCCTTACCGGTCACAAATTGATTACTTTGCACAACAGAAAACTCATTATTCATTGCAAAAGTCGGCTCTTTTAACAAGTGGCCTAATCGCGGCGATGAATATGTATTTTTGATTAAACTATATATTCTATATGTATTTTCATTGTACGAAATGAAATTGTACTCTACGGGATTTTATATCAGTTATTGAGATTTTTCTAACGGTGATAACGAGTTCGCAAAATTCCAAAAATACGTATTAAAATTAAATACACCCGGCAGTTTATCTCATACTTTTATGTTCAAAGATCGCCGTGGCATTTCGGAGAAGTAATGTTTTAATTTTGACTTAAGAAGAAGCAACCGCGAGTTACGTTTGACATAATTAAATTAATATATAAAGACATTTTGGAATCCCGTAGTTGTCATGGATTGATCATTTTACGCAACAGAAAAATAATTATACGCTGAAAAAACGTCTCTTTCACGAGCGCGTAATCGCGGTGTTGAGAATTTCCGATTTTTTAAATACATCGTCATACCTTTATAATTTACAGAACAGAAAGTTCATAAATTAAAGCAACGGTGGGGACCTATTTTGCAAAATAAGGAAATGAAACGATACGTTAGGCCGGAAAAGAAATCAAATAACTTCATAACGCAAAGAAAATTTGTCGCTTTTGTATATTAGCGAGCGCTGTTTGTGAATTCTCGCGCAATTCACGATTCCGAATTCCGTGTTGAAGCAAAGCGGCGCAGGTCACGTGTACCGGGTATTCGAATAGTAAAATGCCATTCGAATATTTTGATATTCGATATTCGTTATTCGAATATTTTGCCCAGCCCTAGTTATGAGAAAGCATTTTTTATTTGTTTTTTTGTTAGAAACCTTTTATAGAGCACAATTATATGTCGAAAAATAATATATGCCAAAATAACTTTTTAATAATACTTTTCTGAAATATGCTAATATTATCATAGTAATTTTACTTAGGATAATATTGTTTCCCTACTGGAATTCAATTACCAAAATGTTTCCATGGCCAAATAAAAGCAGTTTCTGGCTCATTCGAAGAACGAACAGTAAAGAATAAAGGAATTATTCAATAATATATTGACTATATTACCAATATACTTAGTATTATTGAGTAAGATACATTATTAGTGCGTTTACCTTTTTAGGGGCCAAATGGTACATTAGCCTCATTATCATGCCGGGCAACAGATGTACTGTTTAGGCGTCCCTAGAGATTGTAACCAAACACTCAAGGCATGTGGTGATCTCAAGTTGTTGTGTATTATCTATCTATAAAGATTAGATATCCCCATTTATGGTAATGTGAACGACATTATCAATGCAAGCAACATTCAGTAATATATAAATATAGGCTTGATAAGATATTTTAATTCTTTCCTAATTAAGTGTATTCGTTATTTCGAACTCTTGATTTTAGGGAAGGTTTAGAATAGTTATTTTATTTTCAAAAAATCATCATTTTGAGAATTTAAAATGTCTCAGTATTTAACCAAAAGGCCTTCATTCAATTTTTGAAAACTGTTAGAAACAAGAAATTAATTAAATTATTGCTCATCTTAATTTTCATGCCTTTCCCAATTTTAACTCATTTGATATATTGATCTTTATTCATTCTTTGCTGCACATAGCTAAATTTAGAATATATGTTATTAAAATTGTATTATTTGTATATTAGAATAGCTGTTGCTGCATTTTTTGTATATTTTCGTTTGCAGAAATTATTCCAATATTTGATTTTTTATTAAAACTGAAGTTTCTATTAATCTCCATAAATATGGTTTTAGAATATTTTTCAATTCGATAAAGTATTTGCCGAGCGAGTAACAAACAAAGACGTCTACGAGGGTGCTGTCAAACCGATGGTCGATTGGACGATGACACAGTAAGCTATTAAACTCTTCTCAGTGTTTGATAAACACTCTGCTAGCGTCGATAAACACTTTATATCTAAAACGTGATTGACTTCACAAATTTTATAATCACTCACAAGTATAATAATACCATATTAATGGTTTCTGAGGGACGATAATAAATATTTTTATATCATGGTTTGATATGATTAATTATTGTTCTACCTCCTTGGGTAATGGATTTTCCCGAGCTAATAATAAATAGAATGCCAATGTCACCTTTAGGGCGGATAAAAACCACTACCAGGTGCAATGTCTACTAATTTTGTTTGCTTTACGCCAAAGTTTACTTGCGGCTTTCTTTTTGATATCGTAATAACGATCTTTTATTGTCCAGGAATCATAGAGCAACTTGTTTTGGATATGGGCAAACTGGAGCAGGGAAGACACACACTCTTCTTGGTGATGATTCGGAACCAGGCGTCTTTTTCTACGCTGCTAAAGATGTTCTTTCACGGTTAACAAGCCAGCACAGGAGAACAAATCGTGGAAAACGTGGTTTTTCACTTTGCGTCAGTCTCTATGAAATTTATTGCAGTCGCATATTTGATTTATTAAATGGCCATAACAGGTGGGTACCATTTGTTTCTTTGTTACTGATCAGTGTGACATATTACAACATGACCTTTGTATTATTCCCAACATCTCTCTGAAAGTTCAATAATAATTCTTGTTTGTTCAGATGTCTGACATCTTTTTGTCTTGTTTTTCAAAGTGAAACTAAACAGAGTATTGTGGATATTTTTTCAATATCACAATTTACAATATTGTTATTTTAATGAGACGTTTTAGGGTGTTACTGCCTGAATATTAAAACTGTTATTTGGCTCACAAAAAATTCCCTTTTTTCATATACCGTTTGACTAAGTCTAAATCAATTCAACATTTCTTTGATTATGACATCGTTTTTGAAGCCTTTCGAATACTGATTTCTAATCACTATTGTTTTCAGACTACAAGCTCTAGAAGATAGCAACAAGCAGATCCATATTCATGGTTTGAAATCTGTAAACGTTAGCAGCATACAAGCATTGCAAGAGGTATTTTAATTCTTTTTAACTGATTTGTAACTCTTTATGGTAAGTCGTCATATTTCTGTATCTATCTGTTTGATGAAGATTTTAAATTTTATCATTTTTAAATTTACAAAATGCAAGATGATATTTTGAATAAAATTTTGTTGGGAATTTATTTTGTCTGTGACAGTACATTTTCAACAAAGGCTGACATTTCAACACATTGTGAAATTAATATTAACGGTGGCATAAAGACTGTACGCGTGTATATGTATATTCACCATTGACACCTGATATACCCGATATGTTTTTCTTTGTTACAACATCCCTTGTCATTACTTTTCCTTGAATACAATAACAAACTATTGTTATACTTTATGTGAATTGATTTCCAAGCGTCGTTGCTGAAGTGCGTATTGATGGATTGAAATTTTTTTTATAAATGTTTCAAAATGTAAGGTGAGGACATGGGATTTGAACCCAAGATGTGTAATCTTCGATGCCAACGCAGTTAAGTCTATCGCTGTAACGATTAGGCCAATGCTCAGCTTCAATTTATTTCACATTAGCGGGGGTCCATTTATGATTTTTTTTATTGAACATTCTTCATCAAAGGCTTTTTTCAGTTTTTTGATGCCATTTAATAATTCTGTAATATCAATCTTAAAGAATACATATGTTTACTTTTCGACCATTTATTGTTGTCTTGTCTATATATTTAAATATAAAATTTTACAATACTAGAAATCAATTTTGTTTTGTTCCTGTCTGCATTGAACTTCTTGTACTTCTGCTTTCCATCTCTTTGTTGTAAATTTAAAATTATGGAAACATTTCTTGTAACACCAATGCTTATGATGTAAATACGAAATAAAACCTTTGAGGGTATGAGATATCAAGTTTCATATTGGAGACACAATGTCTGTTATATTGTCAGATTGCCAATATGAGTATAATTATTACACCATTGATAGAAATTTCTTCGTATATCATTCAGGTTGTTCATCAAGGACTGAGCAGTCGTAGTGTTGGTGTAACGGGAGCTAATCAGGATTCATCAAGATCTCATGCAATCGTACAACTTACAGTTCGAGACACAAACAATTCTGAATTCAGCAGGTAATGTACCAACACAAATTTTTATGGTTTCATAGCTCTTAGCAAGCAATTAAGGGGTAACCCTTGACTTGAAATTGTGTATAGTATTCAGGGCAGTGGTTCCCAAAGTTGATTGGTTGGGGGGCCAGAATTAGATACGAAAGGATATTCGCGAGCCGGGAGAGGGTAGTGCCCACAACCACAAGTGGCCATTACAGCTGCTGGTACGTATAATTACGATAGCGGTATAATTGAATTGTTAGGAACATAATATATGTGTCTAAACTGATAATAACGTAACTAATAATTGGTGGTATTTAGAACACAAAAAGATAAAAACATAGAGTGTTAAACTATCTTACTCAAGTTTTGGCGGGCCATATTAAATCGTTACCTGGGCCGTTATTGGGCCGCAGGTTCGGTTTGGGAACCACTGATTTAAGGTGTCCGCCTGATGGGACCTTTCCAATATTATGGGGTGAATTTTTTTTAAATTTTATATGACGTTGCTCTGAACAAGGCTCTGCTCATACAGCCACTATTTTAAAAGCAGCTACTGTATTTTGGAAAGATCAGAATCGTCGCGGTTCGGCATTGCCTGCCCAATTTATGAAACCCTGGATGAGTTGACGGGCGTGGGATTTGAACCCAAGATTTTGATCTGTGATGATTTGGAGTCAAATAACCTTTTTCCACTAAATTGCAAATATAGTTTTATTATTCGCTGTTCTATTAAGTTATCCTGTTTTGTCAGAAGAAATTAGAATATGACCTAACAAAAGCTAACAAATATATTTGCTATTTCATGGATGTTATGTCTTATTTATCAATCGTTTAACCATCCTTTTAGCAACTACCTCACATATACATATTCAAAATGGGAAGTGAGCAAGGAGAAAGGCTCACCAGTTCAATATACAATATCCTAGTACTTCAGTATTTCATAATTAGGTAATACTTGTTTTTCATGTTTATAATATTCATTACTGTTTCAGGTTGTCATTTATAGACCTCGCTGGGAGTGAACGTGCATGTGATGCTTTAAAAGATTCTGATAAGCAGAATAGATTGGAGGGAGCTGAAATCAATCAAAGTTTACTGGCGTTAAAAGAATGTATCAGATCTCTTGATCTTGCTTTAGCGCACACACCTTTTAGGCAAAGCAAGCTGACACAGGTATGCTTTCTCTTTTAAATTGATACCACACGGGGACCCGAAAAAATTGAACCCAGGTCATTTGGAACATATTCTAGTGGTTCTCAAACAGAAGGCCGTATACCACAATGCCCCAAGGGGGCGTAGAGGATTTTTTGAGGGGGGCGAAAAGCTAATAAAAAAATTTAATTGTTAGATTTGATCTTCCCTGCCACATTTGTTTTTAAAGCTTTTCATTATTTAAGTTTCATTTATGTATTTTCAGCATTTCTTTCGAATAAAACACTTTCGCCTTACTCTCTGTTAATTTGAGTTTATTGTAGGCTAGTTATTTTGAGGTGGGCCGCGAGACTTGACAATTGAGAACCGTTGTTCTAGAGAGAACATAAATTTTGTGCAAAGCGTCTTAGATTGCAGAAATTTTTGGGTACAATCATACATAAACAGAAGTTGAAGCGGGAAATACATTTTCTGTAATTCCTAGAAGTAATTAGAAAATTTATGGCTTCTGTTTTTTTGTAAGTTTAAAATTGGTACTATTTCATATTTTTTGTTGTTGTATAGAAAACTATTATTTTTCTTTATTACTAGGTCTTGAGAGACTCTTTCATTGGCAACAGTAAAACTTGTATGATTGCCAATATTTCTCCTTCACATGGAAGTTTGGAACACACAATGAATACACTGCGATATGCAAGCCGGTGTGTAAATGTTAAATGTTTTTTTAAGATGGGTTTTGAGCAAATTCATAAGAATAATGGCATGATTTTATTTGTTTTTTATTGAAACAAATGTCATAAAAATGATTCCTTTGAGCAGTATGAGATACTAAATCAAGTTATTTCGAAAAATTAACACATACACCAACATAATACAATACCGGTACCTTGAATTTTTTGGAAAATTTTAAATTTGTTTATTTGCTCGTATTCAGAGTTAAAGAATTGCATCGTAAACCAGGATCGACTCCAAGGCAGCAGCGTTGTCGCTCAACAGCGAATTCAAATCGTTCTGCACAGAGACGTCCGTACACCGCAGATCCAACGTTTTCACAGGCACGGCCGAGCAATACAACATCGCGTACTCCTACATTACAGATTTCGCGTTCTGTATCTATTGAGAGCAGTATGCATGTCATGGACTATACTACTGCGTTCACAGGGAATGGCAGGGAGATTCCTAGGACTCCTCCTCCTACTAACTCGAACAGTATGCTGGATTCAACCACTTCAGCACATGAAACGCCCCAACCAAGAGGACAAAGCATAGATCTTAGGCTTGGTAAATATATTTATTTGCAGAACTTTGCATTTTTGCATGTAAGTTTTTTATGAGATGTTTATTTGTGGCTTTCTCTTCGAAGAAGGTTCTGTTTTGAGTGTAACCTGCAATATCAATAACCGTGGGCCCACAGAGCAGTTGGGGGGAGGGGGGGTCACTGTAGTTCTTTTTTCCTTCACAAAAAACTCCCTGTACTTTCTAATTTCATTGCATGATAAGTTTATTTCACAGGATGTTCTCACTTTGTTGATCATGAATTTTTCGAACATAATGGGATTTCGAATATAGCAGTTAACATAACACTCTCATTGTCACTGGAATGGAAAACAGGGAAGCCATGTTACCTTAAAGTCTCTGAAAGGGGGCCATGAGCCATAAAATGTTGGGAACCACTGCCCTAGGTCATCGTACCCATGAATGATTTATAGCAGTGACACAGATAAAAGACATACTATTTGAGAAACAAAGTACAATAGGGCAATGAGGTTATTTCACAGCTCTTGTTATTATTATCTTTGACAAACAAATAATTCAGCTTCATAATACCTCAACAAAATGCTCACATTTTGTACAAACAGGTGGTAGTGAATCAAGAAATGTTCCTATGCATAAGAAATCGTCTATTTTTACACCTGAATCAATCGCTGCAAGTTCTACACCTAATAAAAAACCAAATTTGCAGAAAGAACGCGCAAACAGGCATGTCCTAACAGGTAAGCTTTTATATTAAATGGCTTGATATATAAGCAGTTTGCCATATTTTTATTACCACTCTTATACCTAGTAGGTATGTTATGTATTGATTTTGTGAAACTCAAATTTTTATTTCAATTTTAAGAAATTTCTACAAATGAAACTACAACGTCCAATAGTACACCCACCTCAACACCGAGATTTTTAAACGATACTGAATTGGTAGGCGGAGTGCCTGTTACATCCAGTTATACAAAGAGTAAACAAACACATTTACAACAACAAATCGAAAATATTTCAAATGAGAGAAAACAGAGTCCGAATACAACTGAATCAACAAATGAAAGAATAAGTTCCGTTAGTACCTCAAGAACTTCAAAAGAAAAATCATCAGAAAATTATTCCAATTCAAGCTCTGTAGCTGTTGAGCATGGTTCATCGCACGAACAGAATCCAACTACATCTTTAAATTCAAATCAAGAAACAATTTTAAATTCCACCAATCCAACTGGAAAACATAATTCAAAAACTTCCCACAAAAGTATTTCTGAAAGTGAAATCTCTGATACCGATAAATTATCATCGAATCGGCGAAAGTTTGAAGCGAAAAGTGAGAGGAGATCTTCAACGAGCGCTTTACCAAACACAAATGAAATTGTTGCTAAGAGTATTGTTTCTAAATCTCAGGATGTTATTTCAGTTAAGGTGCTGCCAGAAAGTACTAAAAATCCAGGACTTCCATCACCGCAGAAATTCTTAACACATCTCAAAGACAAACACAGTATAAAAACAAAAGCGCTCAAACTTCAACTGAGGAAAGCAAGGCACAGGGCGAAAATGGAAAATCGAGGATCTGAAGCAATAGAAGATGAGGTAAGTATTGCTATTTGGAGACACACTGTTCTGTCGTTTCTCAGTTACATTAGGTTCATGGAATAGTCAATACACATATTATCAAAGTTTATCATGTGCATAAATTTTATGCTTTGGAGATTCACAAACCATCCTATTCTCCATTGTTTACCCTATTACTATTCAAGTATTGGTTGATGTATAGGCCAGAGATTGAGCTTCTTTATTCCCGAGTCAGTGAGTGTGATCTTGCTCTGAGCAAATTTTCTCAAAAAGTTGTGTACCGCTTATGTCTGCTGACTATCAACATCATAATATGTATAGTCTCATTTGATAATAAATGGAAGGGAATTCCCACAACATCCTGTCATGGAATTTTACCTGCCTACCTGTTGCCATTATTGAAACCCCCAGGCTCTGGCTATATGACTTAGCAATCATATTATTGTATTCATCTTTTGAAAACTTAGGGGCAAAGCAGTGATCATTCAGCATCAAGTTCATCAAAAAGCAATCTGTCTACATCTTCTTGTTCTACATCTCGTAGCAATTTAACTTCCAATGTACAACGACATCATCAAGAATTGAATTCACAAATCGAAGCATCTAATGCTGTGGGACCGGTTATTGTAACTAACGCACAAACCCCACCAAGGTATGAGATGGTTTAAATCCATTTGATTGGTATGAATTTTGATTTCGCTTTCCATTTGATCATTTGGAGACATCGCTTTTCATTTGTAGTATGTTATTATATGTTTCTTTTCAAGTCATGCACTCAGAGCAACGTTCTGTATCAGCAACGGGTGACATATCTGGGGCTACAATATTCTGAAAAGAGACTAATTATTCTGGTTTAATAACATTTCTTACCCATTTTATTACTTTTTTGTAATGTGGTGTCAGTGGGATTTGAACCCAAGATTTTTAGAATGTGGTAGGTTATCAAAATTATGTAGCATAGTGGGTACAGTACAAGTAACTACTTGATAATAATCTGGTTGAATTCGTTTAAAAATTAAAAAAAAATCACCTTTAATGTATTATGATTTCTTTCACCACTAAGTTTTTTGGACGCAATTTTCTTAATATTTCTTCTAAATCTAGGTTACCTTCACCTAAGTTGGATCGGTCCCTGCCACGTCGTAGTTCCAAGGTACTGTATGGGTCATCGTCTCGCAGTGCTTCACCAGGTACAGGTGGACGTAATACTCCAGATGAAAGAAGCTCAGTTTCATCCAATCCAGCAACAACGACAGGCCTTACCTCAGCTTCTGAACTACACGCTCGTCTAGATGCCGCTGCTGCCTCTTTGAACAAACATAGCGACAATGGTTTGTATTCTGTCGTTTTGTTCTTCAATTTTGGTATTACTTAGAAGTAATAGTAAATATTCAGTCTTGTTTAGATTTTTCAAAAAAATTTTTTAAAAAATTCACTCAAAGCAAAGCTACTCATACTCACTAAAAGTTGAAGATCTGTCTTGTTTATATCGGTAATTTTTTTTTACAAAAAATCTACTAAAAACGACCCTACACGCACTTGCGCGAAAGTGAAGCTCAGTCTTGTTTAGACCTGTATATTTTTTTCTCCAAAAAAATCTACTCATGGCAAGGTTACACGCAGTCACTCGAAAGTGAGTATCAGTGTTGTTTGGATCAGTGATTTTTTTTTTCAAATCCACTCAAACCATGGGTACTCCCACTTGCTCAAAATTGAAGATCAGTCTTTTTTTATATTGGTAATTTTTTTTACAAAAAATCTACTCTTAAGAGAGGTTACATGCACTTACTCGAAATTGAGCATCATCCCTTTACATATTAACCGTTGAAAATTCTAAATTATCATATGTTTTTCAGATGATACCAGAACCTCTGATTCAGAGAAGCCATTGTCTTCATCAACAAAGAATAGAGCTATAATAGGAAGTATGTGTTTTTATTCTTTTTAGCTGAAGAATATTAGGGATATATCTTATTGGTGACATTGTCGAATAAACTGAGCTGAGACCAGAAAGTGGTATCGATAACAGCTGGGGCGCTGTGATAGCCTAATGGATAAAGCTTCAGACTTAATTGTGTTGGCATCGCAGATTTAAAAAAATCTTAGGTTTAAATGGCCCCCCATCTCACCCATGGTGTAGTAAATTGGGAGGCCAAACTGGAAAGTTCGGACCCTTTCAAGTAATACCAGTTGCTGCTTGTGTAGTGCATTGTTCAGAGCGAATGGCGTGAATAAGTGTTTGTGCATACATTTATAAAATGATTATTGTATAAAATTTAATAGTATTCAAACTTTTTTATATTTTCACTCAGAATCAAGAATATCATCGTCCTCTGACAAAGAAAATTCAGATGGAAGAACAAAGCATGAAGAACGTGTTCACAGAGCACAGTAAGTCTCTCTCACTTCATATTCCATATTTTGACTACCAAAATATCGGATGGAATTTCAGTAATTTAGTGGCCCATTTATTTGGATTTAAATAGCAAGAACAGTTGCTCCTCGCCCTCAGGAGCGCAGCCATGATTTTTCAAAAGATGGTTTCGGAATCGGGAATTTCCTGGTAATGGCTTCGGAAACAATTGCCGCTGTTGCTCAACTTGTTATTAAAAGAAACGACTTTTTCAGTGTATGATGTATTTTGTGGTGAATATTCAATGCATGACAAATATAAAAGTCCTGAGATATAAATTTGATTGTGTTTAATGCAACTCGTGGTTGCATCAAGTGTGCATATAAAAATATTATAATAACTATATTCATGCTTATAGAAAATTTTTTGGCACTCATACAATTTCTATTTCTTGTTTTTCCCAGGAGTGAGGTTATTATCGCACACCAAGAACATATTTCAGAAATATTGAGAATAAGTATCGAAGAAGAAAGACTTTATCATGAATTGAGGGATCAGTGGGGACAAGGAACTCCATTTGAAACATACACAAAGTCTTTAAGAAAATTACTCACCAGAAAAACACAAAGTATAGAAGCCTTGAAGGTTAGTTTTATCTTGTAATTTTATGAGAGGGATGGCTCAAAGCAGTGGTTCCCAAACTTTTTCTTCATGCAGCGCTGAATTATCAGGAAAAAACCTTCCAGTGCACAATAGAGACAGACACTGCGCAACAGAAAACAAACGACATAGAAAGATAAAATTGAATTAATTGATTCATAAACACAGCATTAAAAATAGAAAACAATAATACATTTCTAATGAATACAAATGGAAATCAGTCGATCATATATTAGTTATGTCCAACAACAATTTTTGCGCACACTTGGCTTTTATTTTGAACCTAAAGTTTTATGAAAATATATCATATTTA